ATATTAATTTTCACATTATTAAATGTATTTTTTTTATTATTATTTGATTTTTATTTTTTTTTGCTAGGCTGCTCGGCAAAGAAAAAGAGTATTTCTATAATAATAGATGTATTAAATCATATATTATATAAAAATCAATTAATTAATAATATTAATTATACAAATAATATAAAATTATATAAATAGTATAATATAAAAATTATATAAATAATATAAATATTTAAATACACAATTTTAAAATAGTTATTAATATATAATTTTATATTTTTATTATTTTTTAATTATATTATTATATAAACAATATGTAAAATTTCATTAAAATAAATTCATTTATATAGTACATTTTAAAACAATGATATTAACATTAACAATAATTAATTATTATTTTTTTATTTTACAAGTAAAAAACTGTAAAATGAGGCCTTAAGATATCCTTTAATGGTTAGCATCAACTACTAAACTACTGAATATAGTGAATACAGTATGGTAATATTCATAAGTAACCTGATATATTTGGCCCTTGTCTTCCTGTCTTGAACGGCTCACAATGGAGCGCTGCAGCTTTATTTCTGAAACCCTGTCGCTCACTGAGCTCTTTGTCCAGCAGAAGCATGAAGGTCATCGTGAGCGTGAAGGATATTTTGCCTGCTTCTCCATCAGCCTCATATTAACCCCTCAAGCGCACTTTTTCATAAATACTACTAAAAATAACTTTGAATTAAATAAACTGATAACATTTTATACATCATTTTATTTGTATTTTTAATTCCATTTTGCAGTTTCTATAATAATAATTATAATAATGAATTACATAAATTATATACTAAATAATATATAATACACTGATTAATAAAATATAATTAACATAATTAAAATCAATTATTAATTAACACAGTACATTATTAACTATAATTGTTTTTATTATTTTATAATTTTGCTCGGTTCTACAAAGGAAAAAAAACTATATTTATAATAGTAATAATTACTCTTTGTAAATTATAAATAATCTACAATATATAAATTATTTAAAATAAATTTAAGTAGGATTAAAATAATTATTAGAATAATTCTGTGCCTTGACAAACAAAGTACAATAAACAGAACTTAAATAAAAGAGGTTTCATCTACTTTTTATGCTGACAATATTATATTATCTATTGATCTACAATATATAATAATAACATTTTCTTTATACATACTATAATAAAACTATTTTAAATAAAATATGATACATTATTTGATATTGTTTTATTTACTTTTTCATTTTTAAATCTCATTTGCAATTTCTATAATAATAAATTCATTTATATAGTACATTTTAAAACAATGATATTAACATTAACAATAATTAATTATTATTTTTTTATTTTACAAGTAAAAAACTGTAAAATGAGGCCTTAAGATATCCTTTAATGGTTAGCATCAACTACTAAACTACTGAATATAGTGAATACAGTATGGTAATATTCATAAGTAACCTGATATATTTGGCCCTTGTCTTCCTGTCTTGAACGGCTCACAATGGAGCGCTGCAGCTTTATTTCTGAAACCCTGTCGCTCACTGAGCTCTTTGTCCAGCAGAAGCATGAAGGTCATCGTGAGCGTGAAGGATATTTTGCCTGCTTCTCCATCAGCCTCATATTAACCCCTCAAGCGCACTTTTTCATAAATACTACTAAAAATAACTTTGAATTAAATAAACTGATAACATTTTATACATCATTTTATTTGTATTTTTAATTCCATTTTGCAGTTTCTATAATAATAATTATAATAATGAATTACATAAATTATATACTAAATAATATATAATACACTGATTAATAAAATATAATTAACATAATTAAAATCAATTATTAATTAACACAGTACATTATTAACTATAATTGTTTTTATTATTTTATAATTTTGCTCGGTTCTACAAAGGAAAAAAAACTATATTTATAATAGTAATAATTACTCTTTGTAAATTATAAATAATCTACAATATATAAATTATTTAAAATAAATTTAAGTAGGATTAAAATAATTATTAGAATAATTCTGTGCCTTGACAAACAAAGTACAATAAACAGAACTTAAATAAAAGAGGTTTCATCTACTTTTTATGCTGACAATATTATATTATCTATTGATCTACAATATATAATAATAACATTTTCTTTATACATACTATAATAAAACTATTTTAAATAAAATATGATACATTATTTGATATTGTTTTATTTACTTTTTCATTTTTAAATCTCATTTGCAATTTCTATAATAATATTAATAAATATCGCAAATTACATAGTAATAATCAATTAATAAACATTTGGATATAAATGATAATTAAAATAAGTCAATTATTAATTCATATAGCACATAATTAAATGTTTTATTTTTATTTTATTATTTTAATTTATTTTTGCTTGGCTGTACAAATGGGGTTAAAATAATTATTGGAATAACGCTGTGCCTTGACGAACAAAACACAGTAAAGCGAGTGTAAATAAGAGTTTTCACTAATGATCCTCCTAACAGCAACACACCACACAAATGAACGAATCTGCGAGAAAGGTGCTGAATAATTCACGCTTATGTGTGTTTTGAGGCTCACAGTCGACGGCGTTTCAACACGCAGGCAAAATATTCCTCATTTCGAGTAGTTCTGTATATTTTAGGAGTTAAGGAGGGGATCGGGGAGCGTCAGTGTTTGGTTAGTATCAGGGACGTCGAGGCAGCAGAAGTAGCTTGTTTTGTTCCCGCTAGAGACAAAGTCACGGTTAAGGTGTGGAAAGAACTGGTTAGGTGAGGTTAGGTTGAAGGTTAGAGGTTCACAAACACACAAATGTCTCACATGAAGTCGTGACTGCAAAAATGTGCAGCCGGTTGCTCTAAGAGGCCTCCAGACTTTCTCGAGTGAGAAAAAGCGTGATTTATAAGACAATCTGGCCACGTCTTCATCCATCTGCGTGGCTGAGAGCGAGTTGGGGCTCTACGCCACACGTTCAGGCCGCAGTGACCTTAAAAACGGCTCATCGGAGGCACAGATGTCCCATCAGCACCAAATCTGACAGACGGTGACTGACTAATGTGACCCTGGAGCACAAAACCAGTCATAAGGGTCAATTTTTCAAAATTGAGATTTATGCATCAGCTGAAAGCTGAATAAATAAGCTTTCCATTGAGTAAGATCAGACAATATTTGGTCGAGATACAAATATTTGAAAATCTGGAATCTGAGGGTGCAAAAAAATCTAAATATTGAGAAAATCATCTTTAAAATTGTTCAAATGAAGTTCTTAGCAATGCATATTACTAATCAAAAATTAAGTTTTGATATATTTATGGTAGGACATTTACAAAATATCTTCATGGAACATGATCTTTACTTAATATCCTAATGATTTTTGGCATAAAAGAGAAATGGATCATTTTGACCCATACAATGTATTTTTGGCTATTGCTACAAATATACCCCAGCGACTTAAGACTGCTTTTGTGCTGCAGGGTCACATATAAGATGCATTAAAAAAAGCTTTATAAATGATCAAATACGCAAGCAGAGATGGAAACGCCAATCTCACATCAAGAAAATTATCACTATATCAGGAGTTTAAATATGTACAAAAAAATATGTCTACAAAATGATCATTCTGTCTGCAGCGGGCGTGAATGACAACCAAAGCAATGCAAATCAACACTGCAAAGCCGTCTACACTGGAAGTGTACATTATGGCTATTATTTAATTTGTATTAAATAAAATAATAATATAATTGGTATAATTAATAATACTAATATAAGTGTCTTAATTATTATTATAAATTAAACATTCAAATTTATATCTGTGTTTGATAATTGATAATATATTACTAAGTAATACACATTTATTTTATAATAACAATACTTTATTATTTTCGAAAAATCTAATACTTAATATCATAAAATCCTAATTCTATAATCGATTTGACAAATACGTGCTTAGACACCTAGTTTATTAATTTAAACATTTTTATTGACCCACAAATACAATATTATAATAACTATATAATTAAAATAGCAAATAAACGCAAACATAAATGTATAAATCATTATTATAAGTTAAATATTCAAATTTATTTCTATATTTATAATACATAACGAATGATTAATAAATTAATATTCACAATATATTAACAAATAACAGACATTTATGTTAATATATAAATTCATATTATGATGATAATGATAATAATAACAATATTTTATTATTAAAAAAAATCAAATATTTAGTATTTATGAAATCCAATTCTAAAATTAATTTCACAAATAATTGCTTATATACATAATAAAAAACTGCATAGGTAATTTTATTACATAGATATTTGAATATAATATAAAGCATACAAATTTATTAAATACATATATTTATTATTTAAATAAATCAGT